GATCTTTCGTTCCAAACGTTCCGTATTTCCTCGGAAAATTCTGCTATCTGAAAAAACATTTGACGATTCAATATGAAACTTGTTAAAAAGAATCAGAAAATTGGGCAATGCATTAATAGTGGCTTTTGTAGTATGCTAGAATTGAGAAGAAGTACTTTATTTCTTCAACATGCTCGGATCACTGCTCCAAGTAGTATTAGAATTCTATGATTCAGTCCTATTTTTACTAATTTGAAAATAGGAAACATAGGCTCATAAAATAGAAATAGGTGGAAACGCGATAAATACTTCCTTTCGAATTGCGTACAAATTGATAACGAACGCTTGACACATTTCAGACGGCACTCCGGCCACGGTACCCTGGAAATCCAGGACCTTCCAAACTCGATTCTTTCATATAAGTTTGAAAATATTTGGAAGTCCGAAAAATTCTTACTTGATCCAATATTTAGGATCGAACGTTGGGCCTCCATTTAGTAATCTTTTCGACATCAATCGCTTTTTGCTCTAGATAAAAAAATTTAAGCAAATTGCAGGTACCTAAAGGTATTATTAATTCCTTTGGTTTAGTTGCAATGTTTTAAATTTGTCGGATTCAACACCTACGAATGGAATAATTATTAGAACTAATAAAATAAATACCCTGTGGGTTTAAGTAAAAATATATTCAAATAAAATAATTCTAAATAATAAGGCGAGGAAAATTATTTGCATTGACAATAAATGCTTGTTTGATTAAATATTTTTATTTTGTTTTTCTGTTAAACTTAGTTGGCTCATTACCAGCTTTTATAACTCGTTGTTCCATATGAACAATTTCAAACTTTTTTGATTTGACCGACTTTTTGTTACCTACTTACATTTAGAATAAAAATTCTGTGATGGTAATGAAAATGTGATTCAATTCGTTTGGGAGTCGAACACGTAAGGGTGGTAAGTTAGTGATAATTTTTATCACTAACTAACTTAAACTAAAATAATAACATATAATGAAGTTAGTATTTATTGTCAATAAAATGTATTTTCTTCTACTTATTATTAGTAATTAAAGGACTTCAAAATATCGATTATAATTAGAAACGTTTATTTAAACCGTAGCAGAATGATTCGATGAACTTGTTTTAATAGTAAATAAAAAATGAAACTTGTTAAACATAATCAGGGAAAGACACTAGATTAATAGTTGCATGTGAAGTATGCAAACAGTCATGAAAACGGTACTAAATTCAAAATGGTTTTTAGGCACTTTGTGAAATCATCACAGGTGACGTGTTTGGAAAGTATAGTGCAACGTGGCATCTTTAGAAGTTTCGCTTGAATGGTTTTCTGGTTGAGGGCACACAACCCGATATAAATGCGGCACAAGAAGGCCTTAAAATCATTATTAGCACAAACGTTAAAGTGTAAAGATGTATCAACTTCTTCCGCTAGTTTGTGTATTTAGCGCTGTATTTTCCACTTTGCCTGTGGAAATGTGGTGTCTCATTTTAAGACTCCTGGATTCCTCGTCATTGTTGGCAGCAGCCAGAAGTTCTCCACTTTTCGAACGAGTTGTCGAAGGAGACCCAATTTTAAAGAAGACGGTCCAGAA